AGTACTGTTCCATATTCCAATTAATTATTCTTTTTATCTAAGATTTTTGGTTGAGATGAAAAGCCTAAGATAAAAATAATAACTACTTGGAATAATTAATCTCGTCAATTATGACTAATAAGCAAATATGGATTAATTTAATAACTAAAAAGAAGTAATTATTTCACTAACAGCTTCCCGTGGTCACTAAAAAAGTCGCTGAGAAACGAACCCTGATTGCACGACGTTTCAAAATATGACAAAAAGAAGAAAAAAACAAGAAAGGGCATGTGGTTACAGCAGCAGCAGAAGTTCGTAGGTTCGAATCCTTCTAGTGAACTAATTTTTCATCTCAACCAAAAACTTTAGGTAAAAAGAATAATTAATTGGAATAATTAATATGGCCAATGATGACCAATAAGCAAATATGGATTGTTTCTACAGTTAACATTTATATTCTTTATAACAAAAAACTAGAAAAAATACAAATAAAAGAATATTGTAATATATAAAAATCTAATATATTGTATCTAGCTGAAATTGCTTCAGGATAAAGTCTCCGGGGTGCTTTTCCTCCAAGCTGTCGTAAACTGTTTAATGAAACATAAAGCCATATTCAGACAAACAGTAATTCTAAATAAAAGCATGAGAATTTTTTAAAATAAAATTGACATTGCAAATAAATTCATGAATAAAGGGATTTATGTAGGAGCAAAATATATTAAATTATATAAGATATTATATAGTCGCAAAAATAATTTAATCAATTAAATTAATAAAGTAAAGTAATTTATTGATTAAATTATTTTCCGCAATTTTAAGATTTGACATGAATTGTGCACATCCCTGTACAGTCAGCTTCATATTTTGAAATTCTAAACATTTTAAAACTCCGTACAGTTAGCTATTCGCATTTTTTTCGGTAGTTATTTTAATTTTGAGTTGTCCCATTGTTTTTTGTAATGGTTGAACTCGTTTTACATTTGTATCCTTTTATAAATATAGATCCTTATATTTGAAAGGGAAATTTTATAAATTTACTTGGCATTATTAATTTAAGGATACACAAACCCAATATACATTTTTTGGAAATGTGAGGGTCGGGCTGAAGTCCTGTGGAAAAACAACAATTATTTTTTTTCTCTTACCAAAACAGTTTAGGAAATCTAGGATATTTACGAATGGAGGCCTGCATATTTCAGCATTTTTCCTAACAGCCTAAAACTTTGTGAACTTATGTCTTAATCATATGTATTTCTACATTTTGCTTCTTGACGTACTCTTCTTTTTCCCTAGTTATTCATAAATCCTTTATAGCTATTTGTCTCTTTCTTTCTGTCGGTCTGTCCGTCCGTCCGTCTGTCTGTCTGTTTGTCTGTCAGTCTGTCTGTCTGTCTATCTATCTATCTATCTATCTGTGTGTGTGAGTGTGCGTGCGCGCGCGTTAATCACTCTCTCTTTCAATCAATCTCTCTCCCTTTCTCTCTTATCACTCTCTTTTTCTCTGTCAATTAGTCTCTCTCTCTTTCTTTCTCTCTCTCTCACTCTTTCTCTCTCTTCCTCTGTGGGTATGTGTGTGCGTTAATCACTCTCTCTTTCAATCAACCTATCTCCATCTCTCTCTTTTAATCACCCTCTTTTTCTCTGACAATTACTCTCTCTCTCTCTCTCTCTCTCACTCTCTCTCTCTTTTCACTATCTTTCTCTCTCTCTCTCTTTCAGTTTGTCTCTGCCTGACTCATCCGTCCATATTCATTGGTTTGGAACATGTCTGTCATATTTTGAGATTTGTCCTTTTATTAAAGAAATATAGTCAATGTAAATACGATACAATTGTCCAAAGGTGGAAAGCATAAAAATACAACAGACAGATAACATCAGCGATAATATGCGGAAACGATGATTAAGGGAGACAACGAATAAAAAATTAATCATTATAGCTCACACGCGATATCAGTGATATAAGCCAGTCGTGGGACAAAAATTAGAACCATTACGGTTTAAAAATTCTGCGTCAAGTGTGACTATTTTGTCACAGATTCAAATTTTCAGATTGCTGAATCTAACATCTAAGCTGTAGAGGTGTTCAGTTTTAAGTAGAGACTCCACAGCCATTGAGATTGCAACCTGGAAGAAAGAAAGTGCACACACGTTGCATAATACACAAAAAAGATTTTTTGCCCCGATTCGCTGCCAAAAATAATACATAAACTCTTTTCAAAACAATAATTTTTCTAAATATTAATTTCCTTTTAAATTTTTGAGCGTTTTTGGGTGAAACATATATACGATATTTGGCTTGAAATTTCACTTTATCAGAATAAAAAGCCAGCGACCTTTCAGCGAATGTCTTCGACTGTTACGTTAATGCTTAATCTTACATTGTCTTATATTTTCTCTAAGCTTGTTCTACAGACTTTCATATTACAATCTATATTATTGAAATGCAAGACTCTGGTGGGCGTAGTTAGCTGAACGGCGGAATTATCAATTTGAACAATGGTACTGATCGTTTAAACAAAAGAACAAAAGAATAAGTATTAACATTTCAATAAGATATTATTGTTTATATTTACGCCCTCTGTAATCTAGTAGGTCAGATTTGGGAGAAAAAAAAATTTAAGAAAATTATACTTTGTGCGTTATTTTTGCCTGGTTAATTAAACTTAGTTCTGAATTGGTATCTGTTTCTTTTGTATAAAAATAAATCCAATACATTTACAACACTTTTCTTGAATGGCTGTTCTCGTGATGGGCTCTTATCGGGTAGCCGGACTCATCCGTTCCGTGTCAATCTCCACCGTGACATCTTTACGCATCTACAAATCATTTCTTGAAAGAAAACCCCAGCAATATCGCTAAGTGATTGCGGCCTTGCTTTACAATTGACATCCAAGTTTATCGGGCGGGGATCGCGTGCCAGTTATAAAAATAGTGTTTTCCCCACACTTATCTGATTAACGATGCAATTTTTTCCCCTTGCAGGCCATTTTCACCGACAGATAAACCGGGATGGGAAGCTAGATAAACGATAGATAAGAATAACGGCGATATCACTTTTTTAAATATAATTAATTGTTTAATAACGATCTAATCTCACTATAGACTGAGTGAACAAAAATGGCTGATATCTTGATAAATATCTAATTTTCATTATTAAAATTATTTAATTATAATAAATATTTTTACAAAGTGATTTACTATCTGTGTTTATACACAGAATTTATCTTCTTTATGTAATCAGCGATTAGCTATCAAAGCTATCAAAATATAATTTTATTTTAAAAAATGATTAGGGATTAGCCCAATTGTGTTGGCCAAAAGTGGCACATAAAATAATTACACCATTGGTTCTTTGTTTTAGTAAGGTAACTTGTTGTTCCAAAAAGTAATGAGTCGTTGTTTCAAAAATATATACAATAATGCTAAAACTAAAGGTGCTAAAACTGACAGTCAAACCTTGGGTCCCTGAAATTCTCAGAAAGAAAGAAAGAATTGTACTTACACGATTAAGGATAGGCCATACCCGCCTAACACATGGACATCTCCTCATCGGCAAGAGACCGAGAAAATGCCCCATGTGCGGCGCAATTGTAAAAGTAAGGCATATTTTAGAAGAATGCGAACAACTAGCGCCGCACAGAGCACGGTGTGGCCTTCCTAATGACATAACAAAAGTACTTAAGCACAACAGTGATTATAAACGGAAGGTCTTTGATTACCTAAAATTAATCAATGTACATAGCTATATATAACCCACCACACGTGGTATATCCCTCCGATTTGTATGAATGTATTTATTTGCGTGAATGCCGAAGTATGCATGGGTGTGGCTGTGTCGGAATAACAAGTACCCACAGGCCCACCAAATTAGTATAGATATGTTATATATTTGTAGTATGATGTGAGGGACGGGTCATTGGCATTTCGTTGGTACTATACTTCCAAAGTGTAGTGGCTTGTCCAGAATGAATGTATTTATTAGCGTGAGAGGTGATGCGTGAAAGGACGTGGCTGTCGAGGAATATCGAGTACTCCACAGGCCCGTCAAACAATTTAGATTAGGATAGGTTAGTGTGTGAGTAGAACTTGTAAATACAGTTTGAACGTATTTATTAGTGTGAAAGACAGGAGGCCACAAGATCACGATAATCTTCCGACCTCCAATTTAGTTGTAGTATAGGTTAGTGAATTAGTATGAATGTGAATTATGAAAATGTGTAAATATTATATCTATTTATTTTAATTTATCACGTGTGGGAGGGTAACAACAAACAAGATAATGAATCCCCTTTTAGATGAATTAGGTGAATCGGAAGGCAACTGGTGTTTAGTTGAGGCATAAGAAGACTCAGAAAAGAATATACACATAAGATAGACAAGAAGAAAATGCGAGAAGGTTTATATGTGAGGCGCCGGCGATGACCCAGGTAGTTAGCCGGGGGAAAAAAAAATAATAATAATGCTAATTATTTGCTGGGGTGGGGGAAGGTATGTTTATAAGGGTGATCGTGTATTGTATGCATATGATAGTCGAGCAACTTGAAAGTTTTAATCATTTTTTAATAGGGTGTAATCAAATTATGTTTTTCGATTTCAACTTTGAAACTGGTCGATAATGAAATCATTAAAATGCTACAAAGGCCGAGATGGGGTATGTTTATGAACCTTTAAATTAGTTAACCCGCGAGGGGCCAAGACGAAAAAAAAGGCACCCATGCAATGAACTTTCCTAAAGAAAAGTAAGAAAACGGCGGTTTTATGGCCTAGTTGAAGTGGGTTGATGAGGGTAGACCTCGGAATTACTTAATTACCGAGGGAGCAGGACGGAAAAGAAGAAGAACACTTTGATGAGACCCATCCTCCCCGGTTTTCCCATTTGGAAGTGTAGCTGCTTAAGTCTTCCAAGTTTAGTCGAGGGGTCACGTCGAACCGGCTTGAAAACAACCTTTTATTGCCTTTTATATTATTACGCCTTAATTTTTCTACTAAAAGTTAAATTTATTGTGTTTTGGTTACAGAAAAAACTGAAAAAGAGTTGGATGTGCTCCGAGAAGAGCTGAAATCTGTTTTTCAACCGAATGCCGATCCGGCCGAGCTGCCCAAAAATTTGAAAATACTAGCGGAAAACGAACTAAACGAGCTTCCTGACAAGTTGAGGTCAAACATAAAAGAATTACGACAACTTATTGAAGGTAAATAAATTGTAAATAATATAGCTTAATTTGATCAGTCGAACATACATTAATCTATAAAAAAAACAATTACCATTATTTATTATTATCATTTCACGGTATGAACATAGTTATGTATTCAAAAATATAACAAGGTGTAAAAACTTTATTCACCAAACATAATTAGTTCAACGGATTCCGAAAATTTTTACAACTTTCTGATTAAATAATTGAAGTAGGTGTTTCTGTGAGTGGATGACACCTGTTAAAGTAATTACTTAACTTCGTTCGTTTCATGTTATTTGATTACTTTTCATATCGGCTTCTCACAAGGAAGAAGCGCACTGATGAAGCGTGAAGCCGAAAAGGTATAAGTGAAACGTAATCTAGCGCGAATGGATAGACCCAGTTAAGCGATGTGTGAAACTAAAAAATGAAAATTATGAAAAATAAGTTTTTATTTTGGATTTGACCTCCGATGTACTGTAGTAGAAAACCACTTTTTTATTTATTTATTTATTTTCAATTTTCTTTAACTTTTAAATATTTTACGTAAAGAATTCGAGTTAAGTGACAAAAACGTAAAACGTACCGTTGTATGGTTAGGCTATTGTTTCGACGGAAATGAAAGCATACTGTTTCAACTAGGTAAAAGGAAGGAAATTTCAAGTCAGGCAAAAGCATAAAAACCACAATTTCTAAATATTTACACAATTCCTATAAATATTGGCCGCTTCTTGAGTATATAAAAAAAATAAGTTGGAATTTTACTACTTTTCAATGCTCTACCGTCGGTGTCAATATCAGAATTGATGTAATTTATTCCAGACCTTTCGGGCGGCCTTATTTTGTTTGAACGTATGACATAAAACGAAATTTTTCCTTCACTAAAATCCTCGCTTATTTTGAAATAACAGTTGAATTTTGGAAGTTTCAAAATTTAATATTTAAGGATTTGCAGAAGTAAAATGCTTCTTTGGAATGGTTTAATTTGTTTTTAAAAAAAAGTCCCATTTGGTCAAGAAAATGTTGATATATTCTTTAAAAAAAAGTATACATTATATTTATTTATGGCCTAAAATTTAAAACAGTTTTAGTTACATACATTAAACCTCAGTTAAAACCGATTAATTAATTGAAAAATTTTTTGTTTTTTTAATTGGCCTTATGATCTTTGCATATTAGCCATGACGAATCTCTTATATATGTTGTTCAAATTGGGGGTTATCGGGAAAAAAGGGCCAGAGGCGACGGTGGGAATCGAACCCACGACCGCGGCGTGAGAGTCTCTCATGCTAACCACTCGGCTACCGCGGTAAAAAAAAAAATAAAAAAATAAATTGATTTAAGAAAAATTGTAATTTCAGAGCGTAAAAAGCTCAATTTGTATTGCAATTTTATTTAGCAAAGCTTAACTTTAGTAACAGCACAATGATCAAAGTAATATTATTTTTTTATTATAAAACATTAACAGTAAAAGATTAATTTATTTAGTAACGGTTTAAATTGGTTTTGAAAAGTTTGAACTCTAGTCATGAATTGTGTATACAAATATCCTAAACAATCGATTTTTTTACCTGGTTTATATTACGGCTAGAAATGTCAAAATTTACAATATTAAAAGTTTAAATACAAAAATTGACTTAGAAAAAATGGACATTGGTTTTGGAAAAAGTACAGTTTTGTTTAGAAAAATTAATTAATTTTTGAATTGAATTACATTTGAAAAAGTTCAATTTAATTCGAAAAACTTTTAATTTAATTTCAAAGGTATATATTATATTAAAAATATTGCACTTAACTAGCATTAAAGTTAATTTAATTTGAAATAATTCAATTTAATTAGGAAAAAGCTTCATTCAATTTGAAAAAATTTCAATTTGATTATGAAAAATGAATATTTGATATTCAATTTGATAAAAAGTTCGATTTGATTTGAGGAAAGAGATTAAATTGCTTCCAAATAAGTTTAATAGGAAAATTGATTAAAGTTTTTAGTTGAGATAAAAAAGTCAATGGCACGAGCGGGATTCGAACCCACGATCTTCGGCTAGATACGCCGCTGCTCTACCACTTGACCTATCGTGACCTAGATCCACTCGGACATCAACTTCCTATCTCAACCCCACCTTTTGAGTTTTCCCTCCTTTTTGCCATTTTTCAAGTGCATTTCTCAACATAAACCACTAATATGTTATTTGGTCAAGCGGACCACGAAATTAGTGAATTTAATAGGAAAGTTTAATTTAATTAGGAAATACGACCTTAATGTCAAATAAGTTGAATTTGAATTAAAAAGGTTTTATTTTATTATGAATAAAAAACGAACTGAAACGTTGGTACAATAAAGAAAATGTTTTTCTGAAACCTGCATCACACCAGACCGCATCTCACGATATCTGAATAATTATAAATAAGTTGAATTAAATTAGAAAAAGGATTAATTGGAAAAGAATTTTATATGAGGAATTTGATTTGAAATAAATTTAATTTTATCGAAAAGTGCAATTAAATTTTTTTAAAAAGTTGAATTTAATTTAAAATAATATAAATTTAATTTTAAAAAGTTAATTTTATTAAGAAAAAGATGAATTTCATTTCAAGTAAGTTTACGTAAATTTCAACACAGATGTTATGATTTACAAATTTTTATTTATTTATTTCTAAAGTTTAATAAAGTTTGAAAAAATGGATTAAGCAAAATTGAATTTAGTGAGGAAACAATTTTTTTGATCAAAGGATAACAAAGTTTTGAAAATTTAATTTTTAATTAGAACAGATGGAATTACAGCAACAGAAAATAAATTCGAGACAGTATATTTTTAGACTGGCACAGGTAACTATCCGTATAAATAAAATAGTTATTTGGCACCTTTTATTTTTAAGAGATTAAGATAAACACAACAACGTAAAATACAATAAATGGTAAATAAAAAATAATATTTCATTAAATGATAAATGTACAAATATATATTGGTGCAGTGAATATAAAAACATTTCAGCCCTGTTATAGGGCAAATATGACAAAAATTGTTGACATTTAGGTAGAAAGAAACGTAATTGATAAGTAGCCAATTTTCGTGATACCCTTCTTTCTTTTTATTTTACATGTTTCTCACAAACGGTCAAATCATATTTCAAAATCTGAGTTTTATCTCGTATAACAGTTAAATTATGATAATATTTTGTTTGTATATGCGCTTTTAAATTGATAAGTGTACCAATAAAATCGGAGGCTATCACAAAGAAAGGAAAATGAATATGTTCCTAGTGCCCAACCGAAATAAAGATAACCTTATATATATATATATATATATATATTTTAACCTTAATTAATTGTAAGGTAAGAATGTAATATGTAATTGGCCAAGGAGAGCCACTCTACGCTTGAAAAATGGCAAAAAGAAGGGACAATTCAAAAGGTGTGGTTGAGATGGGGAGTTAGTCTATCTAGCCGAAGATCGTGGGTTCGAATCCCACTCGTGACACTGACTTTTTTATCTCAACTAAAAACCTTAATTAATTGAAAGATATTAATTGGTCAAGCGGACCACGAAAACTATTGAATTATTCCTTTATATAATGACGATCTGCCGACTAGATATCCGCTTTCAGTGAAAAATACAAATTTACCTTGTAGCAATGTTTTGCATCGATAGCCAAAAGCTTCTGGAGAATTGGTTAATGAATCTCGCGGAAATTTATTCGTAAAAACCTGACTATGAATGATGTATTAATGATTAAAGATTCTATTATATATAAGTTATTACTGTAAACATAATACATTTTTCAAAAATTGTATTGTCATAATTATTCAATAAGCATGGGAAATGTTTGTGGAAGTTTTATGTGGTAAAATCAGAAACTGCCAATGCAAGTAATGGATCGGCCATGTTATTTTTGTCTTTCTTGTCAAGAATCCCTTATAACTTACACATAATAGATCGAATTATTTTAGTTAGAAACTAATTATTTACGTGGCGATATTGTTGTGTTGCTTGTTAAATATTTGTTACACCATGAAGGTAAGGTTGTGTACAATAGCAGGACGTCTTAATTAAACTCCCTTTGAGTTTGAGCAATTTCAGCAGTGGCTCTTGCTAGCCTTTCATCCATTTCTGGCGCCCCCGATCCACTGACGACGATGCGAGAAATTAATTGAAATTATAAAGGATAATTCAATTAATACAATTTCTATTCAATTGTGTTTGCAATAAAAATGTATATTGTTAGATGAAGAGGAAACCACTGACTTATTGGAGAAATTAATCAAATTTTGGATGATTTTAAACAAATACCACAACATATGTTCGAAATGAAGTGAAGTACATTTTAAGTAGGTTTCCTACCATCTAGACGCTAAGTTGTGTAACGTTTATTTTGAAACTTCCGTACTGTGGAAAAACAATCGAGCTGCATAACAAAAGGATAGGAAGATTGTACGACAAGGACGAAACGTCCGGTCATGCACCTTTCTAATGAAAGGACGCATAGAAAAAGAAAAAGTCGTCGGGCAAACTTTCTGTTGAAGAAACCGAAGTTACGGAATTGTTCATCAAGATTAGCAAAACGCAAAAAACAAAATTACAGGCTCTAACACGCGGCATTATGCGTTTCACATATAAGGATAATGACAGGTAAAGAATCTCAATAATGACACGGATTACTTTGTGCGACCTGTCAAAGAAACTATACTATTTCTGATCCTGACGTAAATTCGGCATGTTTTTAAATAATGCTATTGAGATGTGATTTCTAAGAATTATTAATTAAAAACTAGGTTTTATTTGACAGGACTTTATTTAGTAAGATAAGAAATTCTTACAATCCCTCCATTTTCGAAAAAATCATTTACTCTATCTGTTGTTACCGATGTTTTCTGTATGACTTAAATTCTTATTATGGTTTACTTAATTTATATTTATAATTTTAAAATATTTTTCTACATATAAATATTGATTGAAGAGAATCTGAGTCTTCATGTACAGTTACTGTTACCTAAAGATGATTTAATGACAAGT